ACCTTAGCAGTAAGTCTCAGTTTCTAACAATGTACCAAATCCAACTGAAGATTTTTGTCAGGATTGGGGTTACCATGCATCTCTCCATGGATTCTCAGAGAACTCATACTGTCCTTTCCCCATGAATGTAGGAAAGGGTAGGCTCACTCTCTTTTACCACATTGCTTATTTCCACAAACCTTTTGAATTTATAGGACTATAATGCCATGATAAATCAGGTTGAAATTATCCAGAAGGTTGAAAGGTTATTAAGAAACATGGTTTTCTATCTTGGACACGTACACTAGTGAGGACAAAGAACAACTTAGCAGATGGGACTTTCCCCAACACATATTAGAACAGCCTCAAGCACCATCACTTTTTTGGGGGAAGAGAGAATTGTCTAAGAAGAGAAGAAGGAGACATTGAGGCAAAGAAAGCTAAAACACTCCTCAAAGTTAAAAGGAGTATTAAAAATACTGGAACAAGGTGGGTGGTGTTGGTGTTTAAACACTTCTTTTAACAGCCTGCTCACATTAGAACTCCAGTATTCTGTTTACATGGTTACAGTTGCCGGAATACACCAGAAGAAAGCAGGGATCTGTAGTCTTACTCTGATACAGCTGCTACTAACACAATCATCTTTTTCGAGAGCTACACAACCTGGAAGTCTGATCTCAGCCAGCACAGGAACGAAGAAAACAATTCAGAACTATTTGTATTTGACGCATTTGTAATTCACGTTCTTGTACTTTGAGCACATGTTTGAATCAGACCCATGTGTATCTTCAGACTAAACACTTTCTTCATTTTAAGGAACAAGTTCACTACAAGCAAAACAGTACCTCTGAATGCAAAAATTTTGCTCTAAGATGATCATGAAATGAATGGAAAACTTCCAACTGATGGAAAATTTGTCCCTGCAAAGTCAGTTCTGATGGAAAAGCAGTACTTCCTAATGTTCAAGGCCCCGGACTGGGGATTGAGTTAACCAATCTCAGACCAGGGTTTCAGTCACAGACTGATGTTACCAGCAGGGCCTTGGGTTTTTCAGTCACAGGTTGGTATACACAACACCAGGCCTACTGCAAACTGACGGGGTACACTTGTCTCAGAGAGGTAAATGGATCCTGGGCTTATTGAAAGAGCTTGAAATTAGATTGGCAGGTGTAAGGAGGTATAACTGGGCCTGGTAGAGATAAGTCTGGGAGAAGCATATCAGTGTGTGTAGGATGGTGTGTTTCCAAGGACCTTTTTTCTCCTGTCTCAGTGGAGGTAGGGGCTAGAGACGCATAGGCCAGCAAAGATGCAAGGATTATTGATGAGCTAGAAACGATGGAAACACTTGAGAATGGTCAGGTGGGAATTAGGGCTTCCACCCACAAAAAGGCATTGGGAACATTAGCCCAGCTGAAGTGCATCTACACTACTGCACATAGTATGATCAACAAACAGGAGGAGCTAGAAGCCATGGTGCATCAGGAAAACCATGATATAGTAGCTATCACAAAAACATGGTGGGATGTCTCACATGACTAGAGTGCTGCAATCAGTGGCTACAAGCTATTCAAAGTGGACATACAAAGGGGGAGAGGTGGTGGGAACTGTTAGGGACTGCTAGGAATTTTTAGAGCTTAATTAGAGTGACGATACAGTTAAATGTCTATGGCTTAGAATCAGAAGGACGGCCAACAAGACCGCTATTGTTGTTGGAGTCTGTTATAGACCAGCCAATCGTGACAGAGAGGCAGATGAAATATTCTGTAAGCAGCTGGGAGAAGTCTCGTGATCACTTGCCCTTGTTCTTGTGGGGTACTTGAACTTCCCAGATGTCTGCTGGAAATACAATACAGCAGAGACTGAACGGTCTAGAACGTTCCTAGAGCACGTCAACAATAACTTCCTTACACAGCTGGTGAGTGAACCCACCAGGAAAGGTGCTCTGCTGGACCTCCTGGTTCCAAACAGAGAAGGACTGGTGGGTGATCTGATAGCTGGAGGCCATCTAGGGCACAGCAATTAAACGATTGAGTTCTCTTAGAGAAGTAAGGGATTGGAGGAAGGGGGGTATCAGAATTGCCACCTTGGGCTTCTGAAGGGCAGACTTTGACTTGTTTAGGAGACTGCTTAACAGAGTCCCTTGGGAGGCAGTCCTGAAGGACATAGGAGTCCAGAAAGACTGGACACTCTTCAAGAAGGAAGTCTTAAAGGCACAGGAGCAGGCCATCCCCATGGGCTGTAAGATGAGCTGGTGGCAATGAAGACTGTCCTGGCTGAACAGGGAGCTCTAGCTGCAACTCAGTAAAAAAAGAGAGTTTATGGCCGTTGGAAGAATGGGCAGGCCACACACAACGACTACAAACACACTGTGAGGCTACACAGGGTGCAAGTTAGAAAAGTCCAAAGCCCAGCTAGAAACTAATCTAGCATTTGCTGTAAAAGACAACAAGAAATCTTTCTGTAAATACATCAGCAGCAAAAGAAGGGCCAGAGAAAGCCTCCATCCTCTGTTAGATGCAGGAGGAGACATGGTGACTAAGTAAGAGGAAAAGGCTAAGGTACTTAATGCCTTCTTTGCCTCAGTCTTTAGTAATAGAACCAGTTGTGTTCTGGGAATCCAGCCCCCTGAGCTAGAAGACAGAGACCAGAACAGAATGATCATTCTGCAGTCCAGAGGGAGACAGCGACCTGCTGCACCACACAGACATACACAACTCTATGAGACTGAATGGAGTTCTGAGAGAGCTGGCAGAGGTGCTCACCGAGCCACCTTCCATCATTTTTCAGCAGTCCTGGCTTAGCAGGGAGGTCCCAACAGATTGTAAGTCTGCCAGTGTGACACTCATCTACAAGAAGGGCCAGAAGGAAGATCCAAGAAATAGGCCTGTTGACTTCAGTGCCAGGGAAGCTGATGGAACAGATCATCCTGAGTACCATCACTTAGGACATGCTGGACAACTAGATGATCAGAACCAGTCAGGACGGGTTTATGAAAGGCAGATCCTGCCCGACTAACCTGATCTACTTCTACAACAGAGTCACCCTCTTAGTGGATGAGAGAAAGGCTGTAGAAGTCTCAACCTCAACTTTAGTAAAGCCTTTGACACCATTTCCCACAGGTTTCTCCTGGAGACACTGGCTTCTCAGGGCTTTGGATGGGCATACACTTTGCTGAATCAAAAACTGGCTGGACAGCCAGGCCTAAAGAGTAGTGGTGAATGGAGTTAAATCCAGTTGGTGGCCAGTCACAGTGTTCCTCAGTGCTCAGTACTGGGGTCAGTTCTGTTTAACATCTTTACCAATGACCTGGACAAGCAGACAAAGGGCACCCTTAATAAGTTTGCAGATAAAGCACTAGCGAGGTGAAACTGTTGATCTGCTTGAGGGGAGGGAGGCTCTGCAGAGGGATCTAGACAGACTAGATGGATGGGCCAAGGCCAATCGTACAAGATTCAGTAAAGCCAAATGCCAGGTTCTGCACTTTGGCCACAACAGCCTCAGGCAGTGTTACAGGCTTGGCTAGTAGCGGCTGCAAAGCCGCCAACTGAAAAAGGCCCTGGGGGTGGTGATTGTTAGCCAGTTGAATATGAACCAGCAGTGTACCCACGTGGCCAAGGCCACTGGCATCCTGGCTTCTATCAAACATAGCGTGGCCAGCAGGACCAGGAAGTAATTTACACCTGTACTCAACACTGGTGAGGCCACATCTCAAGTCTTGTGTTCAGTTTTAGGCCCTTCCCTCCATGAAAGACACTGAGGTGCTGGAGCAGGAGAGGAGGGCAATGAAGCTTGTGAAGGGTCTAGAGCACAAGTCCTGTGAGAAGCGGCTGAGGGAACTGGCGATGTTCAGCCTGAAGAAAAGGAGACTGAAGGGAGACCTTGTCGCTCTCTACAGCTACCTGACAGGAGGTTGTAGTGAGGTGTGAGTTGGTCTGTTCAATGAAGTAGTAAGTGACAGGACAAGAGGAAATGGCCTTGAGTTGCACGAAAGAAAATTTCAATTGGATATTAGGAAGAATTTCTTCACCGAAAGGGTTCTCAGGCATGGGAATGCCATGCCCAGTGCAGTGGTGGAGTCCCCATCCCTGGAGGTATTTAAGAGTCATGCAGACACAGTGCTTAGAGATGCGGTTTAGTCCAGGACTTGTCAGTGTTAGGTTAATGATTGGACTCTATGATCTTAAAGGTCTCTTCCAATCTGAGCAACTCTCTGATTCTGTGAGTCATTTTGCTGACCTGTACCTGTTATCTCCATCCAGCTTTTCTCTTATCCTATGTAATAAACATGTAAATACATCAAACAGGGACCAACTCTTAATAGATTTGCACAGAGTCTGTCAAACCAGGACTGTAATTTCAGTCAGGATTCTTCTTGCTGTAATATAATTAATTATGCAATATACGAAGCCTTATTTGCTTAACTAATTAATACTATCGGGTGTTACCAGTTAAATCTCTCAGTATACTGAGCTGGTTATAGAATGCACGTCCTCTTATATTCCAAACTAAAGGACACAAAGAAGGCACATAGCAATTTAGTAAAAAGAATCTATACTTTCTTACATAAAAAAAAATTGGAAAGAACTTTGATCAGCCCTTGACCAAACATTACAAATACTAAAGAAGATTTCTAAAGCTTTGCTTAGGGTCTTCTCTTAACACTTCTTCATGACGGGACTAAAATGAATCATGTTGTAATGCATTTACATTTACAATAGCCACATAAGATAGGAAAGAACTAGGTGGGGTTTTTTCCAAGATGTGAACTGAAATCTGTAATAGACTTAGTCCAAATTACTTGCCCTAGCCATAGACTAGAATTTTGATTTTCTCCAACACATGACTGATGGACACTCCAGAAAGTAAGGGGGTTCAGTTATTCACCCTACCCTGTGATACCAGTTCAGCCTTTTCAAACAAATCTGAAAGGAAACAATTGGAAATCTGTTACATGGAACTACTGATTTTTTTGTGGAACAAAGGGGTGCGAAAATCATACAGCATGCATAGTATGTATAAACCTTGGCTATGCTGGTCCATTGGACTCTGAGGTGGGCCCATTCCAGGGTGAGGAGGTCTCATACTCTTCATGGAGCCACAATGAACATCTTCAACCATTCCTTTTTCATGCAAGCCATCAACAGACTGTGAAAACAAAATATTTATAGAGAGATCATATACAAATCCACTGTAAAAATCCGAGCTCAAGGTCTAAACAAATACATAAAGAGTACAAGCTTCTCTTACTAGTCGTTCACAACACATGCAATAGGCACTTTTATCCCTGGAGAAGCCTACAGACTAGACTCCTCGTCACCTCTGTTTTCCTTTTTTTTTCTTCTCCTTATGAACTATTTGGCAATGCTAGAGAAGCAAACTGTCCAAATGCAAACATGCAAATCATACTAGCCTCATATTACAACGCAGTGTAACACACACCAACTTACTAAAGTACAGCCTGGGGCTCAGTTCAAGTTATTTTTAGCCCAAACTTTGCCCTTTCAGACACTGCTCTAATGGAATGCCCCAAACACTGTTTCTTTCCAAAAGCAAAGATGACATTACAGGAGGTAACTTCCTTTTTTTGCAGGCAAAATCAGGGACAGACAGTCAAGGAAGGGAAAAAATAGCTCTACTCTAATGCTTGTATTCCCTACAGTTCGTGTCACCTCATTCAATCCTCAAAAACTAAAGTTCCCAAGGTACTTGAAATGCAAAACAGGACCAACTGCCTTCTCACAGAGCAAAGAGAAGACAGCTTAGGGTCACAAAAACATGCTGAAGGCGTGCAGGGCACTGGAAAATGCTCCATAACAGAAACTGAAGGACTCTGAATGTGAAAATAGGCGAAAAGGAATATGAGAAGGAAGAGGTCTTAAGGAAACTATAAAGTTTTACCTGGTGCTTAACTAAGGAAGAGATTATGCCCATTAACTTCTAACTTAGAGCTCAGCAAAGCTTTGTATGAGGAACAGGCTGGCATCACTTCTATTGGCAGAAATAGGCAGCTCTGTCCCTCTCTAACATAGGCATGCACACTAAATACAGTTGTTTGCAAAGCAAGCCCTACTGTAAATTGAAACTTTGAGGCCTGTTTTATCTAAATGCACACCTATTTACTGAGAATTCTTCTTTAAAAGATGGCTAAGAAGACTTACTCCAGGGGGAAATATAGACAGTTTACAAAAGAAGTGTGTAAGAAGTTGTATCAAGTCACAGACAAAAGAAGACGTATTTCTTCTTCTCAGCCATTTTCTCGCACATGAATCAGTTTAAGCAAAACTAAACATAGGCCATCCTTTCTACAAAGGAAAAAAAAATTTAATTTGTAAGCCTTCATGGAGTTTTTCCACTCCATTGCACTAAAATCAGATTTGACTTAAAGTATCTTTAAACACATATGGTGAATTTTTATCAACATTTTTGAAGACTTCACAATCACTGTTCCTTATGAGAAACTAAGGGTTAAGAGGAGAAAAGTTACAGAAAAGAAGTAAAATGGCTTTTTTATGTTTCATCAAACTTTTTTAGTTGTAGTAACACTATACAACATTTGTGAAGAGAACTTTTATATAAAAAAAACCCCACTTGTTACTCAAGAAGCTATTTTTGACTACAAGAACTTGGGATATGAAGTAGAAATGCAGACATACATGACTGACACATCAAAAATAGATGCACTGTGCTAACCAAGCAAATCCAAACACCCTTTTCTGAGGCATGAAAATCCCTCCCTCTCCCTTCACCACTACTTCGAAAGACAAACAATGCAAAAGAGAACGTTCAGTTCACATTTTACCCTCAGGAGCTGAATACTACAGAAACACCTATAAAGCTGGATCCATTCCTATCTTTTCAGGGTATGTTGATGGTTGAGGACTAAAAAACTTTAGGGCAGCCAAGAGGAGGAGGAGGACACTGTGCAGCAAATTGGATCCGATTTCTAGAACAGAGGACACCAGCTGTACACATCTGTGGTGCGACTGCAGGGGTGGGTGTCACTGCACTAATGGGTGGCAACCATGAAACCTCTGTGAACGCAGGTAGCTCTGATGAGAAGAAGACAGGAAACAGCACGCATACCCAGGGAATCAGAAGTATCAGCATACAGAGGGTGGGGAAGGGAGCTGGCATTAACAAAGGGAAGCAGTGGTGAAGAAGAAATCACAGATGTGGCCTTTCAAAAAGAGAATTAAAAAAAAATTAAACATAAGCAGAAAAGTAAAGATGTGACAATACAATAAAACGCTCATTGAAGGAATGCATCTATGGAAAGAACTGATCTGAAAGAACATTATTTTGTACGACAATTATTTAAAAATTAACCCAAAACCTGAAATGCTTCAAGTCTAATGGAGGAAAATCTAAATATAGCAAGAAAGAGGTTTTTTTCTGTGTGTTTGCAGAAATTATGCTGTGAAAAAAAAATGAAATTCATTAGAAACAGATTATGAAAGTTTTTTACTAGCAAAGCTACGAAACATGAAGATGGCATAAATTTCTTTGATAACAAAATCAGTTTTAATGCTAACTTATGCAAAGAAACTTGTACTTCCAATAACATTTTTTTGTCTAAAAGGACCCCTACTCTCTATGGTAAAGCACTATAAAATGAGGGATACAACTCAAAAGAGGACTACAAGAACTGAAAAACAGTTATGTTTCTTAGTTTCTTTGAGTTACTGTGTGCTTAAAGTGTTAGGTAATAACTTTAAATCTATGTAAAAGGTTAAAAATAATAGAAAGAATCTTACATACAATGCAAATTCTTGAAAATTCTTCAGTGCTGTATAAATTATTAAATATATTTTCCACAATGGCATTGTTTGTATGAGAAATTTAACATATACTTCCAATAAAGCACTATTATCACATTAAAGTTCTTTTAACATGACAAGACAGAAAGGAAACAGAAATTGAGTTGTACTCAGCTTTGAGTACACAATACTATTTTTATTGGTCCCTGTAAATAAGAACAAGCATGGACCAGATCAGATACATAAACAGTGCTTCCAGAAAACATAATGAGGGATGAGCTTCAACTGTATGCAAGCCCACACCTACAGAGCTGGCAGACTTACAGAGTTTACATAATGCCTTATGTTTAATCCTACATTGCTTTTACTCTGAAATTAGTAACTAAGATCTTCTCACAGACAGCACTGCACCACAGTTTGACCTATTTCCAGGTAAACTGTCAGATTATGGAGTCTTTTTTTTTTCCTTCATCTTCTTAAACAAACCAACCAACCAGGCACCCAGCCACTGGCGTTCAGACTACAATCAAGTATCAAACTAGATTTCTTCTAGACCATGCACCCTCCATATGAACACACAGACCACCCTGCAGTGTCCTGTTGCACAACTGAATGCATCACTGATGGACAGTCAGACTGACTATGGACATTGTTTCAGTAGGGATTTGGCCAACAAGTTTGTCTATCTCCTACAAATCACTGAAATACCATTTTACATGAGGCCTCTGCTGATTTTTTTCAAGGTCAACAACATTACTTACTTTCTTTTTCACTGACGTAAACATACACAATACAAGTAATACATGTCTGCTGAACGAAGAGACATTACTTCCAGGACTGATAGAATTTTAAGTTTCTCAAAATGTGTAACGTGCACAGATCTGCTGGACAGTAATATTTGAAATGGGAAACCATTTGCCTTCCGTTTTACTAAAAAATACCATTTTTGTAGGTAAAGAATTTTTTCTGTCACTCACTTTTTCTCAGTCACCAAAACCAGTAATATTGTCCATGACTTCATAATAATTTTTCCAGAGCCAGTAATCCTTTACAGTACACCCTATTACAAATTGGCAAAAGAAGTGATCATTCATCAGGTTACAAGTAAGTGGAAGAGAAAATAAACTAAGACCTCACAGTACTCTTCCTCAAATGAGAGTGAGAACCATGCAAATTACATGTCTCTACTGTTGTCATAACTAAGATTTAAGCAGTTAAAATTGTGTGGCTCAGCTGGTGGGCAAGAACACACAGAAGGCTGTATGAGCTCAGACTAAAACCATCTAAACCTATGGTCTGCCTCCAGAGGAGCTCACATGTGGATTCTGAGGACAAGTAAGATTAGGGCAACCATGTAACAATGTTTTCCTTTATTAGCTTTCCAGGTTCCAAATATTTTCACCTCACCAGATTACCAGAGGCTATTATGGTTTGTCCATTTCGCAGTCCCCCCCTCAAGAGACTTCTTTCTCCTTAAACACAGCTGCCTTGCATCCACATTATACTTCAGTAGAATTTTGAACTCTTAAGTACCTCCCTGGCAATTTGATCGATAGTCTACAGATTATTTCAGAAAGCAGTAAGCTTATTGTTTCTGTCAAAACTGCGTTCTGTAAATCAACAGTGTGCAAGGATTTTTTTAGTTATTAAGTGAATATACAGTCTTTAATTTTCACACTAGTTGTTAATTAAACACACTTCAGGAATTATGATTTACTGATATCCATTTGTACCCAGTGTCTTCTCTATTGTTAAATACTTTGCATTTTTTTCTTTTTATGCATTTCATTATTCTTTATAAACTAGTCAAATATCTAACATAGAATGAAGGTTTCACTATTCAGTTTGTGCATTTTAGAAGAACCACATCCCACTGCATGCATGGGACATGTACCCCACAAGCCATGTGTTGCAACTGGGACGCTTTATGAAAGCATTTGTGATGCATTTCATTAGGAAAAGAAAAACACATTTGGTTACCTCATGACTTGAAAATCCAACTGCTTTATTTAACACTAAGCAGAAAGCAGACATTTATTTGGTCAAACTGAAGGTGACTGACCAGTTCTTTAGTTACATGGAACAGCATTCAAGCAATATTTGCACAATAGTCTAGAGGCACACTTCCACAGCACTTCTTAAACAGACTCTTCCCTCAGTTGTCATGATAAACTATTTCTGAGGTTGGATATGCAACAGACCAGAAAACTAACCTAGACTGAAAAATAAACCAAGAATTTTATTTTTTTAAAAAACACCTGGATCAGTTCAACAGATCCATTTTCTAGCTTAGTCACACACACAAGGGCATGCTGGTACTTGTGAAGTGGCAACCTAGAGCACAACAAGGCTGTTGCTACTAAAATAAAGACTTGTGAAATTACAGCTTTTTTTCCATTATCAGAATCAAGGTATAGAAAATTGAAACTAATTTTACTGTAACTATACTAACTGCTCATCTTAGAATTAGCTATCCAGGCTCTTCACATTCATGGTGCATTTTTCAAAACATTTGAATGTCATTTCAGTGGGTTAATTTTTACTCTGTCTCACAGAACTGAGAAGCTTGTAAAGTCTCTGAAATAACTTTGTGGGATGACACTTCTTCATTTGTTTCTGTGTTGTGTTTGTGTTTGGTGGGGTTTTGGCAGCAGGAGGGAGGGGTGGGACACGGGATGGGACACTACAAGACTGGCTCCTCTGCAAAGCTCCCTTGACTAAAGTCAGACTTGCCTCTGGTCAGTACCCTCACAATAAACATATTTAAGAGGGGAAAAACGTACTGAGTTGTTTTGTCCAGGGAGAGGAGGAGGATACAAGAGGAGCAACCACGCTGACACCAAGGCAAGTGAGCAACGAAAGGGAGAGGTGTGCTGGAGCAGAGATTCCACTGCAGTCCATGGTGATACGGCAGGCTGAAACCCTGCAGCCCATGGAGATTAACAGTGGAGCAGAATCCCACCTGCAGCTCATGGAAGACCCCACACTGGAGCCAGGGACTGTGCCTTTGGAAGGCCATGACTCCAAGAGAAGCTCATACTGTGCTAGTGCACCTCTGGGAGGACTGCAGAAGGGACCTGCGATAGACCAATTTGAGAGGAGCTGCAACCCAGTGGGAAGGACTGGAGGACTGTCTCCCATGAGAGGGACACAATGTGGGAGCAGGAGAAGACTGTGAGGAGTTCTCTCCCTGAGGAGGCAGGAGCAGCAGAGACAATGCATGATGGACTGACTTCAACCCTCATTCCCTGTCTTCCTGCACTGCCAAGGGCAGAGGAGGTAGAGAAATCAGGAGCAGAGCTCAGTCGAGGAAAAAGGGGAGGGAAGCATTTTTAAGATCTAGTTGTATTTTCATAGAATCATAGAATGGCCTAGGCTGGAAGGGACCTTAGAGATCATCTAGTCCAACCTCCCTGTTATGGTCAGGGACCTCATTGTTAAGTTGGTGATGGTTTTGCCATTTATATTAAACCAATGTTTTCTCCCCGAGTCAATTATTTTTTGCCTATGTCCATAAGTGGTGAGTTAACCCACCCTGTTCTTAGCCTCAGCCCATGAGCCTTTTGTTATATTTTCTCTTCTCCATCCCAAAAAGGAGAGAGGTAAGAGTGAACAAGTGGCTGCGTGGTGTTTTGCTGCCAGCTGAGTGGGCTCAAACCATGACAGCTGCTAAAGTTAACACGGCATTAAATATCCGAAGAACACACAAGCTGAAAGAGGATGCAGCAGTTAAAAACGTATGTATGGAGCTTTTAACCATTCTAATGGAAAATCTCTGATGGTGCCCTCTTTTTCTGCAGGTGTAGAATCTCTCAAAAACAGAGAGAAATGAGAGACCTGAAAGATGTAAAAACCCTGGTTGTATATGAAGTTTAGGGCATTCATACAAGTACTGGAAACGGGCTGTAAATGACCCCACAAACAAGAAAATGACAACTGCAAATGTCTAATCTGGCTAATAGCTAAATTACATGCTTTAGGATTCAAATTCAAAAGTTTTACTTCCTGAATTTACTGACCTCTCAGAAATTACAAGAGTTTAGTATAAATAGGCAGTCAGATCACAGCCTCTTTCACTTCAATTGTCTTAGTGCTATTAGAAAATTTAATGATACAGCTCTTCACAGAAAAGATGGTCATGTCATGTCTCTACTGACTGGACACCGCTTCAACTGTTTCAATGAACGAAAATGATTCCTATGCGAAAATGACAATACAAAGAATTGCCAATTCATAAAGAAAATTAAAATATGTTTATATTACTCTAAAACTATTTTTTATTGTAATTTGCTTTTTTCTATGTGCATATAACAACTCCAAGCGGAATCAACAACAGTTAGCAAAATGTTTTTAATATCTTTGCTCTGTGAGCTGTTACTGCATGCTTCTGAGAGCATAACATCAGTGAAACTGAAATTATCCTAAGCTCTGATACATAAACAAATGAAAATGACAATACATAAATTATTCTCACAAAAGAAATTCCATACAGGCAGTATTTCCTCAAAGCAAAAGACATTAATTGTTGAAGTACACATGCAATTTTAAGTTCAATTATTCACTTGTTCTACACTACACAGTTTTAAATTCCATAGCAAGACGGAGTCTTTAAAAAAACAGCTTGGACACCAGTTTTTTCATCAACTTGGAAGAGTAAATGAGTTTGTAAGCACAAGCTCTTTAATAGCTAAAAATATCAATGAAAAAAACAAACATGCAAAACTAAAACCCACCCCAGAAAAATCTAAGATAGATCCAAACAGACAAGAAGGAGAGGGGAAAAAAAATGAAGTGGTTAGAATGGTCTACCATAATACTTTAACACTATAATTCATTTTTTCCCTCTAGTAATGTCTATTTTACTGAAAAGTACAGTTCACAAACAAAGATTTGCAAACTACTAACTCTATAACTCAAAGCAGCCTAATAAAACCAAGGAAATTGTGTTTAAGCTGATATATGCATAATCTTTAGTAAAAAAGACAGAAGTAGGAGCATAGATGCAGTTTTGCAGGTGATACATGATGTGTAATAGCAGTTACGCAGGTCTAAATGTAGGGTGAGTAGTTTTTTTTAACCAGTGAAGAGAACTCTAGGAAAAAAAGGTTCACTTTTAATAAACTATTACCTTATGCATTTGGTGCATGCCTTCCTGTGGATAATCAGTAGGCCCCATTGTCGGCATTGGATGTGGGACACTGGGAGGACCAGGACTTGGACCCATCATGCTGTGAACTGAGCCAGGAGATGGCCCTGGTCCTGGGCTAGGTCCTAGAATCGGTCCAGGTGAAGGTCCTGGCCCAGGGGAAGGACCAGGATGAGGCATGGCGCCAGGTTCTGTAGGCGTGGACATCTATTTTCTGTCTCCTTTTCAATTAGCAGAATAGCTCTAATAACAAAAACAAAACAAAACAAAACACCAGAATTTCTATGTGATGTTAGGGGCACTGAAAAAAAAGTAATAAAATCTACTGGCAATCATTAAACACATACACACATGCAAACTGTGATCAGCAGAAAATGCTTAAATGATCCTTAATGTAGTTCGACCATTTCTAAGAGACCACTAGAAGGATAACGATTCTGATAGTTCAGTCAATTTCTGGATGTTTATACGTTACTCACAGAACAAATAAACCAGTACACTATGAGAAACATCTACCAGAGACAACGGTAGTTCAACTGACTTCCTATCATTAGAGGTATCACATGAGGTCAAGCACAGCACTAATAAAGGCAGTCAAGATACCTAGGCACCTCTCTTAATATATGAGTGTTCAAAAGTCTCTCTCTAAACAGATGTGACTGCACTGAAATTCACACATATAAAATCCACGGTAATGCAGCAAAATAAATTCTAAAAGGCAGGGGTTCTGCTGATACCACAAATCAGAACAGCGCAGCTCAAGTGGCTTATAAAACAGTAAGTGCCCTGAGAACAAATGATGGGCTTTTATATGCTGGAAAACCAGCTATTACTATTATTTTATTTCCAAGTTCTTAGTAGAACAAATCAATACAGGCTACAGGTATGAAACATTCTTCAGTTTTCCAAGAATTTTTTTTTTATTCTTCAGTTTTCTGAGAACTTTTATCAATGTCTAATATTGTGAACTTTTTGCATACTAATGTCAGAGTCTTGTAACATGGTGACACTGACATACTTTTAGAAAACTGATAGTCAATTGCTGCCAATGAAATTTCTTGGTATTCGCCACTCCCAGCAGCACCACTTCCATGTGTTTGATCACATAATCTCATTACCTGAGTAGTTAAGGCAGCAGAAAAGTAGCCCTATATTAAAAAAACAACGAAACAACCAAACAAAAAAATCGCAGCTACTAAAAAGTCACCATCTAACCATCTAGTGATTCAGGTTACCGAACTGACTTTCTGAAAGAAAGTCTCAGGGCGAGCAAGGCAGTAAGTAGGCTCACCACTTTAAGCAGCAGCTGACCACTAAATGCGCTTAGCCTGTTCCCACTCTTTACTTTAGGTGCAGTTTTATAGTGAAGTGCCTGCCCATGATTACTTCTCCCACATGAACACAGCAAATAAAATGAAAATGGGTCTTACTAAAAAGCATTCCAATTTAGTATATTACAAGGTAATCACAATACAACAGTAGATTACAAGGCCTATGACTCCTAGTCTCAGCTTGTCTCCTTACAGAATCTATCACAGAAGTGTGTTCCAGCTTCCACATCAGGGTTTACCACTATCCATAGCTGGCAGTAACTACCTTCTAACATGAATAAGTGTTGTAACCCTGTTATGACACTGCTTATATAAAGCCACACTGTAACACTGGAAACACGCTGGCTGTAGTGTAATTAAAGACATAGACACTCAGGAAAAACAAAGTACCCTCCCAAGGCGCCCAACAAAGTAGAAAGGAGGCCCATCTGCAAGACAGTTCAGAAAAAACAAGTGGCTTGGTGCTTACTGCTAGCAATCAGGGAATTCAAATCTCACAGACCCAGTCATCTTTTCCTTTATGAGCAAGAGTCTTTACTTATCGGTATCCACACAGAAAATAAAATGCATCAAGACCATTTTCACTTACTTACCCCCAATTACTTAATCATTCTGTCAGAACCAAAACCAGCTTAACAGTTTTTATTTCTGCATTCCCCTTTGTTATATTTTAAGAGCTATTACTTCGATTAAAGGCAACAAATTAGAACTATATAAATATCCTCACCTGAAATAAGCTACCTTGGGATCCTGTTTCCTTGCAAGGTAAAACAGGGAGATGCCTACAAAACTTCAAAACAAAACGCTACAGTCAGCAATTAGACCCCTACAATCCCGTGACATTACCACAAAAAGAATAAAGTTATCAAATGTTCACAACTGCATACACCATTCCATAGCTTCCTATAAGAGGCCCGGAGTTTAGCTGTATGAAGGATAGATGTTTCCATGCAACAGGTTTTTATAGGAGTCAATAATTACACTGCAAAATATGACTGACACTCTCACAGCTGACTCTCTCTGTATAGTAAAAGGCAAAATTCAGTCCATTTAACAAGGCAGAACCTAGCATCAACACCACTATCAAGAAAAAATTTATACCAAACCACAGCACAATCAATTTTGAAAATATCAGCATATAGTATACATACTAGACAGTATCCCAATATATATAGTATCATACATACATAAAATATATATTCTATAGAATATATTATGTTTTTTTATATAGACCCTGTGTGTATATATATAGTATATACATATACAGTATACATACTATATCATGTATATATATACATACTCTATATATATGTACTATACAGTATCCCAAAATATCCTATGTCACAGAACACTTAATATCTACACCTATGCATTAAAAATGGCATCAAAATCTACCCCTCTGATCACCTCTATTTCAAATTTAACTTGCAGTTCTAAAAAATTAACTGGCCGCAGTCTCAGCTCCACTAGTTACACTGTCCTTTACATACAGACATCTCCTGAACACACACTTGGAAAATTTAGAATTATTTTTAATGGGCTAGCAAGTACCCAACCTGTGAAAAACAGTAACTAGCTGAGGGTAAGGTAATGTTGCACCCCTTACACCAGGTCAAGTCCCTTCATTTTCTTTAAGAGCAGATAAACTCATACAATCTTACATAATTGTGAACTGTCTTAAAAAAAAATCCCCAGATACAAATCTGTTTATGTCAAAACATACTTCTATGGAAAAAAAATTTAAAATAATTCATAATATGTATAGCAGGGGAACATAAAATATTGGAAAATACTAGCTGAATGCAAGTCATAAATCCTGGCCAAAGATATCCATGGACATAACGAGACAAGGCAACTCTCCCTGACAATACTAGTCCACAAAATTAAAAAAACAGCCCCTGCCATAAACCAAAACACTTTATACAGAGTCCTCCCAATTGAAGACCTGTTCACAAAACAGAACTGCTGTAAAGCTTATGATTTAACAAGTCTCAAACATAGCATAGTTTATATTTACTAAGACTGAGATTGTGTAAAAAAACATAAAAATTAAGCACTTTGCTCTCATTAAAATTTAGTAAGAACTAGATATCTAATTCATCTAAGCCCTTGTAAAAGTCTCTTTATAGTCAAAGCAAAAATCTACAAAGAGACAAGTGCAACAGTGGCCAGGCTCCATCCAAGTAACACTGGTATTTAGTTTGGGTAAATTCTGGTGCCTGTAATAAAATAAGTAAAATTAAGTCTACTCCCTGTCAAAATCAGTGTTGACCCATCTGTTTGGACTGCTTCTAACTAGTGCTGCCTGTCAGAATCACAAAGCACGTGGGAGAGAAAGAAGAAGAAAAAAAAGTAGATGGTTCTAACAGACTATAAGGCCTTTAATAACATTAAAAAAAAACAAATTCCCAGCTCATTGTCCCAAATGATAAAGCTGCCAGTCTTGATTCTCAAATGCATTACATACTGTACAATCATTTTTCAAGTGTCCACTCTTAAATATTTTTCAGAACCCTTATGGTAGTAGTGTTATTCACACGACTTCAAACAAGGCACATGTCCTCTTGAGCCATAATCCTGTATCACTTCTTAGGTTTATTTATACCAACATCACCAAACTTTTTTGAGAACAGCTACAAATGGAACTAGTGGAGACTGAATTGGTTCTAGTGAATCAGTTCCTCCCATGATCTCAGAAAATGTCTCCATCTCTGCTGGACACACCAGAGTTGAAACAGGGAGGGAAAAAAAAATAAAATCTATCCTTAGACAGATACATAATTTCAGCCAGATGCAAAAACAAGAGCCAAAAAATCGAGCTGAAGCTGAAGAGAGACACTTCAGATCTCTGCTCAACTATTTCTAGATTGAATTGTTTACAATAGTGAATATCTAAATTACAAAAAAAAAGAGGGAATATTCCCTAAGCGTAAATGTTTCTGCACTGTCTCTTTGTACACATCTAGAAGGTTTTGTAGATGTCGCTAATTGATTGCACAATAGAGTCTCCATTTTGGTACAAATCTGCTACAAACCCCAAAGTTACAAAGGCATGGATTTCCTTTACATGAAGAAAATGAAAAATTAGTAGATCCAAAACTAAAATACACCAGTTAATAAACCACTCGCATCACTTTGGAATTTGAGACCAGCTGGATACCCAAAGAGGTCCAAGTATTACCGACTGATTTGACACAGGGCACGCACCAAGACTAAGAACGTAAGGAGCAGTAAGTATATATAATTCTTCTTCAGCTTTCCCTTCACCATCCAATGCAATTTCTGTCTTTCCATGACTGAGTCAATCTAAACTGAACTTCACCCAGGATGTTGTGGCCAGATCCCCTGCCTTGGATAGGTCGTGGAAAGTAAGGAAGCTGCACCACTTAAATCTGATGATAACGAAATATGGATCCACGCAACAGCCACACACACATTCCAAAGCAGACTGTAACTTTGCGTTCACAGAAAAATAATTACAGTCTACTTCTCCCCACACATCTCCAACTGAAGTTATGATTCACAGGTGGCTTTGAAAAGATAAACTGTGAAATTGTGATACACTCTAGGCTAAAGCAGCTTATTACACTACCACAGAAAATATGCCGGTTAGCTCAATCAGTAGAGCGTGGCGCTATCAACGCTAAGGTCGCGGGTTCGATTCCCGTTCGGTCCCCATGTGTTGCCTGATCTAGTCGAGAGGTGGCGTCCCTGGTGGCAGGGAGGCTGGATTAAATGATCTCTAAGGTCCCTTCCAGCCTAGGCCATTCTATGATTATATTGTTCATGATTCATAGTATTTGCTTAATCTGCTAATATAATCAAATTAAGATGTTCAAGAACTGATTAATAATGACAGCAGCTCATCATAATTAA